GTACGACCACAATTAATTAAAGCAGTCATTCCTGAGCTCCAATAGACGTGCGTGACATGCTGCGGGTCGCAACATCTGAGGCCTATCGATTTTAATTGTGAAGGTGGAGTTTTGCGTGCATGTAACTCAAGCCTGCGTATTCAGTTACCCACTAACTGCACTTCTAATGTAATGAAATATTTTTAATGCATGCTTCCTAAATCAGCGTTTTTCATAGAGTAACACAGCTCTTCAAATATTCCTAGTGTTAAAGTTACTTACGCTCCAAATCCCTTTTAAATTCTTATACCTACCCTTATACGAAAAATGTTTTTGAAAAATAATGTTTCTCTACGAGAAATAAAACGCATGTTTCTTTTACGTAAAACGTACATGGCTGCCGAACGCTCAAAAATCCATGTATCAACGTCGCTGTTAAGAAAAATATTGTGGAACGGAGCTAAGAACATTTTCATAAAAAAACGGAATCTAATCCTTAACTTCACTCCGTATATTTAGACGTCTTATTAGACTTAAGTTGTAGTGCGGCCATTAACCTTTTTAGAACACACTCCCTGCTGTAATAACTGAAACATCTTCCAGAGTTTAACCGTTGTAGTTTGATAAATTTACTCTGCAGGGAAATGAAAGTTTGAACTCAAGATGCAATGAGCTAAAGCACTATTCCATTTGCGAATAATGTTAAGCTTATTTGATATTGTGTAAATCCTCTCCTCAGAGGATTCCCGTGCCCAGCAGAGGAACTTGTATGATCATACCTATTCGATTATCACTTCAACAGGCTTACCGCAAGTATGACGAGACGTTGTGAATAAAACCCTAAAATGTATAATAGTATGGGGTAATTAATTGTTGGACAAATTTCAAGAGGTGTAAATTTTACAAAATATTTTTCAGAAAAAAAGAGCTACTTACATTGGAATAATATTTTCTTTTTTCTGAAAAATATTTGTGTCTATTTGCAATTTTCACATGATCCAACACTAATAATAATCCTATTTTTGCTATATGATACAAAGAAATGATAATACAGTCCTGCAATTAAATGTTATACAAAATATAGTTAGTATGTAATAAGACACTTGAACCAATTTATCTTATCTTGTATTCACCAATCTTGGAGACCGCTATGTACATTTCACGTTGACTCCATTATCTCTAAAGTATTAAATGACATACTTACACTCTGTTAAACTATGTATACCAGTTACCTGTGCGCTTTGTTTATTATGTAGAGATAAAACCGACCAAAAATCGACCTTGAGCTACTTAAACGCTATGAAACAAAAGCTGATTGTTAGTTGGTACATCGTAAAATATTATGGTTTTTAAAACTACTCTCAATGCCAACATGGTAAAAATATTCTTCCGAAAATGTTGTGAGCTAACCCAGGATAAAATATATATGACGCGTAATGTACAATGTAGCTATTCCACGTTCCGTAGCTTATCACACTGGAGAATGCAAAGGAACGGGGAACAAAAGCGAAAGGCACGAAACCTCTACAAACACAGGCCAACGAAACCGTAGAACCTATAAACCCAAAATAGAAAACACGGGTACAAAGTTTGATTGAACAGAGGTGATTTTGTAAATAGATCTCAAAATACAATCTGCCTTTAAACACCGCCGAAACAGGCGTTTGTTATCTTTAAACCGAAAGATTATGAACTCAACATGTGTTAACTGCGGTAACTAGGCCAGCTTTGCTGCAGTCAATCAATAGCACGTAAAAAATAAACAAATAGGGCCATGCTCCTCGAAAACCCATTTCCTATTAAGCATATGATTACCGAACTAGTTGGGTGCTGATGAACACGATATCATTTTAAATTTTCAATACGCTTCTGTACGGTATAATTTGAACTTGGCTATGTAGCGACGATGTCCCGAAATAGACCCGGACATTACATTTACGAGAATAGCGGCTAATGGCATGTCACCGACTTGCTTTTTATTTAGAGATGACTGTATAATTTTTTCAGTTAAAAAACTTCCTTACACTAAATTTTCGTTTAAAAAATTGTGTCAGCTTTTATTACAATTATGTCATGACAGACTTTAAGACTAAGTTGGACCTTCAATATTCCGCAAGTCATAAAATTTATGAACCTCTCGATAAAGTTCACATGTGTTGAATTCCGTGAACCCATCGAGTCTTCATGAATTTACTATATTTATGACAGAGATGAGACGGATATCCGGTATCCGGCCTATTTTTACTACCCGGCCGGATATCGAATGTTTAAAACTGAGTAAAAATCATAATCAGTACGCCAAATAAATTAATTTCTTGATAAAAGATGATAATAATAGGATAAACAGCAACTACAAGATCGTTGACAATTTGTTTACTACTTGTAACTGAAAGAATTATGAATTTAGATAACATCTGTAAATTTAGTACTCAAATTTCAATAAAGGCAAATTATGGTGAATGAAGACCAGTTTTTCGGCAATAAGTGGTAAAAGTTGGTTTTATTTATTTTCTAAACGAGACCAGCGTCAGAGGACAGTTCTTGACTATATACTCTTACACGCTTTGTTAAATTTTAAGTAAGTACGAGTACTACTTGTTATTGCCAGACGATCAAATGAAAGAATCACGATTACGATCAATTTGAACTATCTTCAAATACAATGAAGAAAGTATGAGTAAATTATTTTTTAGATCACAAGCAAATTAATGAAACCAAATTGAAACAAAATAATAACAAGTGTTAGGCTTATACTTATAAGAACTAAGAATTTTAATATAATAATTTTTATTTCAGGAATGTAGTCCCTGTGTAAATAACACAATAAAAAACAATTATAAAACTAAAGCATACAATTAAAACACAGAAAATTCAATCTAAAACCAAAAATAAAACATAAAGTCAAAATAATAAAATACGGTAGCTAACAAAATTTGTAATTGTTATTATAATTGCCAAAGTACAAAATTAAACTTTCATAGATTTCTCATAGATGGCGCTACGACTAAAAAGTGGTTGAAAAACCAAATACAAAGACACGACAACAAGCACATAGAAAAATTCGTGAGGTCCGCTGGTTTGTTCCGTGGCTTAGTTGGTATAGCGTCTGACACGGTATGCTAGAAGACGTCGGTTCGAATCCGGCCGGATCGAAGGAATTTTTTCTGAGTGTTCGATCTTTGTATTAATAATTATTAACAAACTAGTGGACTAATTTCATAAAAAATAATTGAATATCAATTAAATAAAAGTTTTAAATACAAAATTAAAATTGTTAAAACTAAAATTATTAAAATTTTGAAAGATAAAAATATAAAAATAAAATAAGATTGTGTAAACAAATAATAATTACATAAACATTCACTTATTTCATATATAGCCAAAGGATGTAGTAATTGCTTTTTTCCTTCTCCATCGCGAGAAATTTGCATTCGGCACAACAAACTAACACCACTGATATTAAAATATTGCCAAATTTGCGATTATTTTCACTGTTAACATTTTTCTGTTATTATATTATATTTGTTTGTATTATCGAATAAATTAATCGTTTTTAAAAAACCAAGTGCTCACAACCAATCAAATCGTCAATGTGAAAGTGCAATCATTCACTAATTATACAATCACGGCGACGCGCGCTGTAAACCGGTCGCGACATATTTACGGCAATGGGTCAGATATCCGGTGGCCGGATATTTGGCTATCCGGCCTAGGTGCTCGCCGGATATCCGGTATCCGGCCAAATCACTATCGGTTTCATCTCTAGTTTATGGCGCCCAAAATTTTCTACTGCGTGGTATTATTAAGTACTACTCTTTTTAATGAATCTAACCAAGTTGAAAGCATTGCTCTACCTTAAACAACGTTTGTTGGTTTTTACAGTCCCTTTTCAGGATTAGCTTGATTTACAACGTGGCGTAGCGTAACGATCCCCGAGGGCCAATTTCAATGGAGAAGGGTTCAATAGGCCAAGTCTTTAAGATAATACCCTTAATATGTAACTATCACCTGGTGCAAGCGGCTTAAACCGGCATTAGTCAAACGTCTCTCCAACAAAAAGTATCATTAGTTGAATTTCTTCTGCGGTCTTTTTTACTTAACTCAGTTTTATCCCACTTTATCCTAACAATTTCCAGTTTTACTCTTACTATGTCACTATTTTTACTCTTATTACATCTACATTTAACTTTCGCTTAGTCCATATTGACGATATTATTTCCAAAGCGAATTTCTAGCATTCATAAAATGGGCAACAAAATGTTTGAGTTAACATCGATTTGTATCGCAACGAGTTCCAAACGGCCGCAACCGCTATGCCATTCTGATCAAAAGATAAATTCGGTCAACGAGTTCGATACAGCGCGCCCTAATGTTGCCTGGTCCGAGTCGAATGACGTGTCTCTTAATTGATCGCATTTTTTATTTTTTTCTTAACGTTCGCTTTGACTCATCTCAAAATCATTTGGGATACAGACGCATAAATATGCATCTTGGTTCGCTCTATTATTATGATTGATTTCATTCCTTAAGCTATTGTTGTGAGATCTTATTATATATTAACACATAAATGGTGTGTTCCGTTAGCATTACGCGAGCGTATCACGCAAGGCTGCAATAAGGAGGCTGCTTTAGTTGTATGTTCTTATTTTAGTAAAAAGCCAGCGTAAATTGCTCTTACCGTGCCGTCGCGTGAGTATACTCAGCTTACTGCTAAAATATGTACGCGACTGGGCGGTAATAAAAACAAGAAATCTCAATAAATGACCCGTAACTAACTGCTATTCGTTCTCTATGTCTTTATTATTTAATAAAATTAATTTAATCTCCTATTTAACAAACGTGAAAGCGCAAATTGAATAAAATTCATGAAACTACAACAAAGGAAATGTTTACCTCGCAAACATAACAAAGTTTCAAACATTTTTACAGTTCCATTCAACAGTGACGAATTTTTAGTATTAGAGTAGGGTGAGCACTTTCCTAGAATCTCTATGTTATATTCATTGAGTTTTTTGTTTCAGTCCAAATGCAACCGCCTAGATTTAGTATGCAGCCATCATCATCAAATAGCATAGTTAGAGAAGGAACGACGAAAATATTACAATGTTCTGCTATAGGTGAGTGCCGCTTATGATTCTGCCCTAGCGTAATGAAGTATTTTATCATCTCCATTCCATCTAGCCAAGTCTATGTAATTTTTGGTAATGACAAAAAGGTCTACAATACTTCTGACCCGTAATTTTTTGACCAGGTATACCACAACCCATGTATAGATGGTTAAAAAACGGAGTTCCCTTAGGTGACTACTCTTCAGAACTCTTTCATAAAATCCATAACACCCAGCGCGATGACGCTGGTGCTTACCAGTGCATCGCTAAAAATGATGTCGGAGCAATCTTCAGTGAAAAGAACAACATTGTCGTTGCATGTAAGTTCATTCTCGTTTTAACGACGTATTTACTTTCTTTGTGACTGTGAAATTGTTGAAAGCGACATTATCGTCTTTCAAACGTACAAAATGTACAATTTCATAACTTTTATGGGAAAAATTAGTTTTCTTATTAATCTATTTAAGAAAAGTTTTATTACTTATTTTATAATCTTATAATATCCGAATTTTCGTAGATATGGGTGTCTTTGAGGATAGCGTGGAAAAAGTTGTGACTGCAGAATCTGGGAGAGCAGCGATCTTAGATTTTCCCCACATAGATTCAGAACCTGCACCAACAGTGATTTGGCAAGACGAAAACGGCGTTCTTCGTTACGATCAGAAATATGCAATCTCTGACAAACATCAGCTCGTTATTCTTTGTGCTTCACACGAAGATGAGAGGGCGTACAGGTAAGTAAAGATTAAACTTTCACGGGTTTTATAACTATTACATAGTAGTACAAATACTGTACTAGCCTGATAGATATGCGTGCTAAAATACTGTTTCGTATTTCAGAGTTAGAGCAATTAATAGTCAATTAGGAAAAGTAGAAAACAGTCCATATATCAGATTGAATGTCTACGGAGACGATAGTAAAGAAATTGCACCTGAAATCATAATAAAGCCACGAGACACTAAAATAATCAAAGGCCAAGAAACCACTAATCTAATTTGTATTGCAAACGCACGGCCTCTGCACGAGCTAGAGACTTTATGGTTCAAAGACGGGGTACTGATAGACTTAGCAGGTATTACATACGACCTCAATGACCAGTGGAACAGAACACTTAGCCTAATATCAGCTAACTTGACGCATACGGGTCGATACACCTGTCAAGCGAGGTTGAAGACTGGTGGTTTCGCAACAGTTACCGAATCTGCGACCGTCACTGTTTTTGAGAAACCAACATTTTCGACTAATTTGAAATCAGAAACTTTTGGTGAATTCGGAAGCACTGTTGTCTTAGAATGTAACGTTCAAGGCATACCATTACCTGGTATAACATGGTACAAGGATACTAGGAAAATAGCCAGTGTGGGAGCAGACGCCGGTGAACCTGACATGGATGTAGATGACGGAGGAGGCAGGTACAGAGTGGAAGTTGACCGTTCGCTGGTCATCAGTCATCTCAAAATGGAAGACATGGGCATATACCAGTGCATCGCCTCTAACGAAGCTGGAGAATCTTCTATATACACATGGTTGAAGATCAAAAGTGAGTAGTGGTCTTTTATTACTATGATTGTAAACATCAAAATAGAGCTACAGTCATTCATCATTAGACGAAGCCGACGACGAATATCTTTTTGAACGTTAATCATGTTGCAGTGCCTAATGAGGCACTAATGCTTTCATTCAGGAATTCCCCTGGAGTGATGCTTTTTGTAAAAAAAAAAAAATATCAAATGAACTAGTCCTCGCGGGGACTAATATTTTATTCTAAGTCCAGTCCACTGGACTAGATACTTATAAAGGTCTACGTTCAATAAGATCCTTGTCATTATAGATATTTTAACAATAACCAATGGTTGTCACTATGTACAGCAATGCCCAGTAGGCGCATTCCACGCAGTCACATGAAGTTAATACGTGTGAGGACAGATAAAAAGGCAAAAACATTCAAATTTGATACAGGCAGTAAGAAAAATCATTATTGTGAATTTGCACAATTTGTTTTCGATAGCAGTTTTGTTTTTACAGCACCGTGTGTTTGAAAAATATTGCTTTTTCGTTATTTCTCGGTTATGGTGTTCACTTCGACACGATTTTTTAATACGAATTTTTAAATTTCGTTCGTTGTTTTGTTTAAATAAAAATTATTTGCAATTTCGTTTAGTTTCATAGTCATTATAGTACTTACTGTTGAGAGTTAGTTTCTTGTGAATTTCTATTATTTTATAATATATAAGGTTTAGAGCATGACTTACTTTGTAGATTACCTTACTAACCTTTTATATTTGTCCAATACTCTCAAGTTATCCAAACAATATACCTACATACTATAATATTAGCATGTATTTAAACGGAAAATACCCTTTACGCCTTGAAAGATATTTTGAAAACGCTTGACATACATTTCCACACAAGAAATGCGCTTGGAGCACTTCCTGAATTAATCAGACTGGTTTAAATATTTACAGCTAAAGATGAAAATTATTCAGGCAACTATAAAATATGTTCCCCTATAAAACACTCGAATTTAGCACCCACCTCATTAAATATTGAACGTCTTGCTCCCAAAGTATAGTAAGTGTAGTCACTTGAGGCTTCTCTAGTGTGACTCAAACGCTGGGTGGGTAAATGAGTGAAGCAAATAAAAGAAAATGGATCTGTAAGAAAAATCTTGGGGACAAACATTTATGACACCTAATTTTCCTCTCAATAGTGGTACTCTATTTTCGTTTCATCTTTACAATCCTTTTGGGACGTCTTCAAATTCCTTGGACCCTTTTGTTAATACATAGATATTTTCAGCACAGGTTGATTGAAATACCATGTGCGTCTTTACACGTTTTTATTCTATGATTCTGCCAGAACTTATTTGCGTAAAATATCGTCACGTGAGTAGTGTTGAGTTTTCCAAAAAAATTCAAATAAAGGAAATTTTTCAGAAAAATTGGAATAATATAATTCGAAGACTCATATTATGTTCTACATTTAGATATATCTTTTAAAGTTTTATTTAGCATGAACTATAAAATAAAATTGTATAAACATTGCTAATTGTAATTTTCTAAACCCTGCTTGGCTTATTTTCACAAATTCTTATAATAGAGTTCAGTATCTTGAACTTTTGACAGGTGTTATTGTCAAATGTGGAAAAATATAGGAAAAATATTCACAAAAATATTATTTTTACAAAATGGAAAATTTTCCATTACTCAACACTACACGTCACATAAAAAAAGATTGATCTTCAATAGTAACTGAAATGGAAAGTATGAGAAAATTAATGTTTCCTTCCTCTAAGTAAATTGCATAAATAAATTGCATACGTGCAACTAGCATGCAAGCTTACTTGCATAATAGAATCGCAACGAATCCAGTTTTCGATTTTCCTAGAATCATAAAGGTCGGGCCGTGCCCGGGACGTGGACGGGCCGTGCTCCGTCAGGGGCTCAAAAAATATCGTTGCGTATATTTTGTATGAACTCGTTCATACATGTCCGTGTCATACAAACTAGCACGCCCCGTCCACGTCCCGGGCACGTCCCTGATGTGTGTAGATACCTCCTTTAAGAAGAGCTGTAATGACAAAGGAAATGTCATGAAATGAAAAGTCTACATTCTAGTTCAGTAGAATAAAAAAACTTTCCATCCTCTAAGAAAAAAACTCATTGACACTGGCGAAGATCGTCTAATTTTTATATTACTCTTACAAAACGGACACTGGCCTAATAGCCGCCATTAAGGAAATGATAAAATCAACCTTCTATTGCATAAAAATGCATGTGTAGTTTCCAAATCCCCAATAGCTGTTTACTACTAGTGTTTATAAATTTTTCAACCCTGTCACCCTTAAAAGATTTTGAGTGATACTAACATATTTTAATAATTCTATCCCAATCCTGGACGTATAAAATAACGAAGAATATTGGAAATACTTGAAATTATTTAGATTCTGTGTATATAGGGTTACTTGTGAAATACTAACAACCTCCCAGGTCTATATTACTTGCATTGTAAACAAAAACTTTTGTTCCACGACTTTAAATAATTCATTAAATATTGAAATAAATCACTCTAAACTGTAACAAAAGAAAGTACCCACCACCGAAATTGTTTTTATGTATGACAACACACGGGAGGCGTTGCTAAATTACTTACCACCAAAAACAGATCAGAAAAAGTGTCGGATAGTATAACAAAAATACAAAAAATTATTCTTGGTAAATTTGGCATGTTTTGTGGAAAGTGATGGATACCCTGTACATAGCGTTATTTGTTGATACTATATTACTAATGTCATAAACAACAACTTTTGTTCCATCACTTTCCACAAAACATAATAATTTTACCAAAAAAAACTTTTAATTTTTTGTTGTGCTATATGACATTTTTATACCCGTATTTTGTAAGTCAAATGTGAAAACGTGTTTAGTAGTAGTAGAGGTCCGTGTAAAAGAGTTCGTCCAGGGAAGTACTGCCACCTTACCTGTTTCCGCCGCCAAATAGTAATGTTAGCATTACTGCGTTCCGGTTTGGAAGGGTACGTGAGATGCTGGTGAAATTACAGGCACACGGGACTTGTCAACTTGTGTCTCAGGGGGACGGGCGCAGTGGCAGTGGCAGCTTTAAATCGCAAAGATTTATGGAAATCTTTGCGATTTAAAGCTCTCAGGGGCACTGCTAGAACTGTTATGGATAGGCGTGTCGCTTACCACCTGGCGCACTTGTTCGTCCTGTCGCTAAGTATTATAAAAATAAAAAAATTTAAAATGTCTTGCATCGCGTTTTACATCGGACTGGTATTTATGATAACGCTTTCTTTTGTAACAGAGTTATCACCGAAAAGAGCGTCTATTTATGTGTATTTATTTTTGAACGAAAATAAAATCTGATGAATTATTAAAAGTCATGGAACAAAGACTTTTGTTTATGATGTTAGTAATATAGTCCTACGAGATTGCTAGCATTCTAGAAATAACCCTTTATGCAGCTATTAGCTATTCCGAGGTATTTCTTGACTGTCGTGTTTCACCAAAAGCGTTAAACATTTCGTCTTGTTTGGAATAGAATGTAGCTGTACATAATGATATAAAAAAAAAAAAAAACAATATAAGTATAGCTAGAGTAGCGTGTGTACTAACTCGCTTGGCTTGTAGCGTCCCCGCCCGTAATGCAGACTCCGCCCGCCAACTTGACTGTCCTGGACGGAAAGGACGCCACCATCACCTGTAAAGCCATCGGAGCACCCACCCCGAACGTCACTTGGTACTTCAACGGTCAGTATGGTCGCTACAAATATAAAAGAGTACCACGTTCTTTTTATTTACAAGAAGTATTTTTATTATTTTTTATTTATTTATTTATGATCAGGTTATAAAGACCCATAAATACATAAGATCATTGCGATGCCTTACTTTCTCAAACTCGTATCTTATAAAAAGTGATTATTCAGGAGATGGCATAATTATCTATTTATTTTAAATTTCTTACCAAGGATGTTAATTTGGTTGCATTACTTTAAGAATAGGTCAAAGCCAGTGTATGAATATGAAGGAAATGTGATGTGAAATGAGCAAATTTTGTAACTTTGTGCTTTAAGATACGAGTTTAATAACACAACGCGCGCACGCTCATTGCCCCGCACTAGGGTAACCTTGTTTCGTGGATGCTATGGACACAAGAATAGACACCTACAAAGTACATCCAAACTCGCAAGAGAAATAAATGTAGGCCATACAAATATTTCTCCCAGCTTGGAAATCGAATCCGCGACCTCTTGCGTGGCAACCGTCCCGCATGGTAACCGTTCGGCCACAGCGGCAGTTTGAGAAAGTAAGGCGACGATTGGTGTAATGTGAAACTTTTGGAAGTAGATTTTTATTGAAATATGTCTAATATAGGTTGAAGATTTTTTAATGGCGTGTAAAAGGAATGCACCGTAATGGGAGTTGTTGGAAATATTTTCCGACAAAGTGGAATATTTTAACATTAAACTATTTACCCGATGCAACCAACAGTGTAACTTTCCAGAATACTTAAGTAGCATTATGCGAGTGTCACAACACAATGTAATACAAGTAACTCGTGCTCCCAAAACACTATAATGCAGCTGCGACTTTTTCCAGCCAGAGAACACTTAGGCCGCACTTACCGCTAATGTTCCCATTATAATTGCTTAACTTATAAGGAAGTCACCATATTTATCGACACGGAATATTAAGCCGGTCAGTTGTTTCAGCCGGTACATTCATGTATTAAGAGCGAAAAAGACGTTGTTGCGGTCCAAGCGGGGAGCAAAACACGTAACGTCTTTTTCGCTCTTATTGCATGGATATAAAACTTATTCTGACCGGCTTAATCCGATTCCATATTATAAAGTGTGGTAACTCCCTCAGACCTCTTGCAGCTGCCATTTTTAGGTTAAAAAATAGTAATTTTTTATTTGTTCGGTAGCAACATCACTTAATGGCATATTATTTTGAAAAAAAAAAGATTCAAAATGGTATTGAAAAAAATTCAATCTTTATAAGTCTTTACGAAGTAATGTTTTTTTTTAAACTGGTTTAAGCTTGTCACTTAAGATTTAAATGCAACTTTATGTCGCTTACGATAAGAACGGTCCAAAGTACAAAGTGTCAAGCTTGACGTGCTCTTGACTGTACCATCTTTGTATAAGATCGAATTCAAAAATGCAACTTAAAACAGCTTTTTTTTTGCTTTATTCAAGCAACAATTTCATGTACATAGGTGTCTTCTTCTTATCTTTATATAATCAGTACTACAAAAAGTACGTCTAAAAAGATGCTTCTGCCCATGATAGTTGTCCGTGGGTTGTTTGTGACCAGTGGTAGCCTAATGAGAGAGAGTCCTTCTTAATTGAGAGGTCGATGGTTCGAATCCCTGAGGCGGCACGTACATAAGACTTTAATTAACGCTAACGATGGGGAAAAAAGGAAAATATCGTGTTGAATCCACACGCGCACATACAAGAACATGTGAAGTCCCAACCCGCATTGAGCAAGCCCAGCCCAGGGATACCTGTTTTATGTTGGACTCCTAAGGACTAAAACCTCATGGCGTTCAGCCACTGCGTCCTTTTGACTATGGCCTGACCAAACTGCTCAACCTTTTTTTCCTTCGGGCCACACGCACTTGTTTTTGGTATGTTACTCGGGCCACAACATTTTTGGTCAACTTCAAAGTCAAAGTCAAATAATGTTTATTTCATAGGTAAGGCAGATTCCCCTGAAAAGAATGAGCAGGAAACTCTGGGGGTTGCTCTTTGTAAATATACATTTAAATACATCTATCATTACAATATTTAATTTAAACATCTTAGAAGAGAACTTGGTTTTCCTCCCCATATTAATAAACAAAACACAAAGCCTAAATTTCAAAACGATTATTTAAAAAAAAATTGTGACATTTGATATTGAGACAAACTGTTTACTGTTTTACACGAATCGGGTTTATAATCGCCACATACTACTCTCAATACGTCATCAAGGTGAGAATCAGTGGGCCGATGTCTATATACATTTTTTGCATATTATTTCATTTTGTTATAGGATGATTCACAAAGTTACGTTGATGCGATCAATGTGAGCAGCAGGTGGGCACGTGTTTTACAGTCATGTATTTCACACGTACAGAGTCAAGAGCACGTCAAGCTTGACACTTAAGACTTAAATCCGAGTCTATGCCGCTTACGATAAAAACGATCCAAAATACAAATTGTCAAGCTTGATGTGCTCTTGACTGTACTAATTTCCAAAGTTCGGTGTACTCGTTCGGTGTGTTCGTATTGTTCTTAAACTCGATAAATTCATCGAACAACCTTGCATAATTAATTCCCAAAGCAGCTAATTGCTATGGTTTCTTTTCCTACGTGCCAGAGATTTAATCTGAATGAATGTTCTCGGCATCCCACTCAAGATTTAAAAAAATTAATACGCCATAGTTTTAAAAATCACCTATGTAATAATAGTGTTTCGGGTCGCTCCTAAAATCTTAGCGGGCCGCAGGTTGAGTATGGCTGGCCTAAACCCTTAAAACCCGTGCCTACTAGTAGGATGTTTATTAGAGTTAATGATGATAGAAATAGTACAACTAGCTGTTTGAGATTCAAGAAAATACAGAGAAAAAAAAACGAAAAATGGATATTGATTCCTTATGGGAAGTTGTACAGGTTCCATGGGTGAAGTCACCCTATGAATTATCAGCCTTACCTATTTCTGCCGCCAAGCAATAATGTGAGCGTGACTACGTTCCGGTTTTGAAGGGTGAAATTACAGGCACATGGGGCTTTCAGCTTATGTCTCAGGGTGCCGGACGCAGTGGCAATGCCCTCAGATCTTTGCGATTTAAAGCTGTGAGTGGCACTGTAACTGTTATGGACAAGCGTGTAGCGTGTAGTTTACCACCAGGCGCATGACTTATTTGTCCCGCCACTTGATTTTACTTAAAAAAATATATTAAAAATGTTTTGACATCATTCTGTATATAAAGGCCTAATTTGTCGTTACAGATTCTCTAATAATAAACTTATCGGGAAGATTACAAGCGTTAGAGGACGGAGACCTGTTGATAACGGGCACTACGACAGCGGACAGTGGCAAGTACACTTGCATGCGAGCAAACGACGCCGGCAACGTCTCTGGGGAAGCATACCTTACTGTGCTAGGTAAGAAAGTTTGAAATTAGTAACCTTCTTATTGCCAGAAATTTCTTAGAATAATAAAAAAATGTCGTTATTAATAATTAGATTGAGACTTCATAAAGCCTTTAAGAAAATACGTTTATTGCTAAGCACTTTCTTTAAACATTCATAACACGTTTTCTGGTACGCCCTTGGGACCAATTCTCTTACACTGTGACCCTTTTTCCTTTCGAAATAATATCGCATACTAACTATTTAAGATTGTTGTGGAAGGCACAAACTCCGGAAGGCTTATACCCAGCAGTGAGTGATGTCGAGCAGTGGATAATAATTTGACGATGACTTAGGAAATGTCACAAGTCTCTATTATCCAAAAAAATATTATCTCTTCAAAATGTTTCCTTATGCTCCTACTGGGTGCTGCCACTGGCAGGAGGACTAATATGTCCTAATGCTCCTATCATTATGACGTTTCTAATAAGTACACTGAACTAGAAAAAAATATATATCATAATAAAAAAGTCAAAAGTATCTTTATTTCATAAGTAAGAAAATTACACTTGAAGTAATTAATCACTTTAATTTAACACTACTACTCATTCTCAAAGCAGATTCTCCAGAGAATTATAAGTAAGAATATCTAGACGAAAGACGACAACTTTATAAAAATGTTCACATTCGAAATTTGTACATTTAACATGATTTAAGCTTTGATGATTGGAATAATTGAACGTATCGAAACTCATATTTGTGTAATTTTGGTGCCAAAACAGTTATGACGATCCACTATAGACTTTGCATATGCCTGGCCTCTTAAAACTACCAAAAAAAAAAATTCACCAAGACTTGACCGTGTCGTTTCAAACCTTTTCCTTAGCGGAAAGAATTTAACAAACATTAATTGATAACAAACCGCAAAAGGCTTAAATACGCCAACCTTGCTCAGTGCTACAGCTTCGTGCCTTTTGCTATTGAAACCCTGGATCCTTGGGAGCCACAGGCAAAACTTCTAGCGAACGAGCTTTGAGATTGCCTCATAGAAGCCTCCGATGACCACAAGCCTGGTAGTTATTTCCTCCAAAGAATAAGTTTAGCTATTGAAAGGGGAAATGTTGCCAGCCTTCTGGGCACGACGCCCCTCACTCGAGGAAATTTTCTACTAAATAAACTTTATAATAAGTTTTGTGTTTATAATATTTGTCTTTAAGTGTCTTGTAAATAAATTGTTTTGCACAGCAAACAACACTACCTTAAAATGTAGTGCACAATATATTAATATACATATACATAAGCTCCCGCCCTAGTCCCACAGGACGAGTAGGCAGAGGCCACGGAATGCCGCCTTACTCTATCCTGACACAACTTTCTAGCCTCAACATAATAATAATACAATGAACTACCTTTTTCATACAACTTCTTTTATTCATGTCACTTATGATCCTAACCTTTTTGAGGACATCACTTATCTGGTCAATGTAAGTCCTTCTGCGACATCCTCTTAAAACCCTCCCACCCACATTCGCATCATAAATCTGAATGGTAATTCTTCTTACATCCATGCCCAAACCACTTCAACATTCCTTTCTCTATCTTAGTCACTACACCCTCTTTCAAACCACATTTTTCATCGTTCTTTTTTATCATTAATATAATAATATTAATATTATAAAACAGTATTTGTTAAAAGTCAAATTTATATGAACATTATGCCATATCCAAAAGTATCTACTCTATAATGTAATGTAACATGAATGTAAATATAAAACGATATCCCGATCTCTACAACCGCCTGTTTCATGTCGAGCTAAGAGTCGTTTTATGTCATTGCGGCATTATAAGAACACCAAAATCTGTTTGCAATCGACATCCAAGATTTTTTTTTTTAATTTCTCTACTGAGTCATTTTCTCTGTAGTACGATCGAACCCCCCCATTTTCATACTTACCCATATGTAAATGATGTAATAAAAAGGTGCGACCGTATTTCAACTGAAGAGCGCATTTTTAACTGTATTTTTTTTCAATAAAACTTTTTTCGCGTATATTTGCTTTTTTTTTCAAACAGTACCAGTGTTTAGGACTCTTTATAGGACCCATGGTCCCTTTTTGGATTAAATTTGGTTGTCATAAGTACGACCGTTTGCACCATTCTTTTTACACTCTGTACAATAATAGTTTAATTTTCTAGTACGCACACAAATAATCGCGCCACCCGTTGACACGCGTGTACTACTAGGACACACGGCCACGTTGCAGTGTAAAGTTTCGAGCGATCCCAACGTTAAATACAACATCGACTGGTTCCATAATAAGCAGTGAGTACAATAATCTTTTTCTAATTCCCATACGAAAATAAAAACATTTATAGCCTATTATCTTCACAATATATTACAAACAAGTAGACAAAAGAATAGAGTAGTTAGGTTTGTAGAGATGTAGCTAAACGTTTTAATTCTTAAGGCCAGTCCACATGGTTATGCTTGCCTGCGAATAAAGTAAGTCATCAACATTACCTGCACAAGCAAAATTACCCAAGTTTAATGACGGCATAGCTTGACCGTGTAGTCGATTTTTCGATTCATCATGTCGGCTGCCTACTGCCTATACCCGTAATCGTACTCCTTGTTATAATTTGCTCCTTCGACATTTTTCTACTGCGATACACTTCCTTTCTATAGTAGTTAACAAAAAAAAACAAAATGGTCGGAAGGATAACCACACTTTTGTTCCAGACCAATGACAGCTGGTTCCCGCGTATGGGTCTCTGCGGATGGAGCATTACAAGTGCAAGCCGTGCGCGCGAGTGACGCAGGCGAATACACGTGCGTTGTGACGTCACCGGGCGGGAACCATACACGTCACGCAGTCTTATCCGTTATAGAATTACCCTTCGCACCTACAAATGTTAGAGCGGAGAGATTAGAGGCGACACCACAGCGCGCTGTAAATGTTTCGTGGACACCTGGCTTTGACGGAAACTCGCCGATCCAAAAGTTTATTGTGCAGAGGAGAGTTGTTCCTGAGTTTGGTTAGTCTTTTCTACTTGTAATTACATGATTCCGAGTAAAACCGCATTATGGCAGATGAACTATATATATATATATATATATATATATATATATATATATATATATATATAGCACGTGTGTTTTGCTACAAAATTTTATTTGAATTTTTTCCTCGCTATCTTCAATATTTCAATTACATAAAAAAGTTTCTCTTTCAATGCTCGAAATTTAAAAATAATTTTAGGACCAATCCCAGATCCTCTTTTAAACTGGGTAACGGAACCAATGAACGTGTCAGCCAATCAACGATGGGTACTCCTGACAAGTCTGAAGGCAGCAACTTCTTACCAGTTTAGAGTGTCTGCAGTGAACACCGTTGGGGAAGGTCCAGCTTCGGATCCTACTGATGCCCTTACTCTGCCGCAGGAAGGTAAGAATCCTAATGCAATTAACAGCTTACGTTAAAAAAAAATCACAATACGGATTATGGTGTTTTAAGTCACATGAATTAAATTGTTTTTACTTTTCATACGAATAACGTTTTTAAAATTATCAATCACCTCACCTCAATTAACGAGCTCCTCATACCAAATGCGGCACTGCACGGTTGCCTACGAATTCGACCGCGCTACAATAATCTGTATATTGAAACCTAGGTGTGTGGTGCTCTTTAAAAGTGTGTTCCGAATTCCGATCATAGCAACATACATACACATACATATGTTGTACTTTGGTAAACTGTAAATTCATTCACATAACTGCACCACTATATCGTCCATTGACATAGCACTGTAAAAAAATCTGTATGTAGTGTAAGGCGGTGTACAGAAAAAACGTCGAATCGGCTGGTTTCAGGACTTCCTTATGATCCAACTAAAAAACAATGCTGACGCCTTAGAGTGAAAACCTCGCATAGGTACGCGTTTTCACATAGTTCGCTTTTACTGATTTTTGTTGAAAAAAGACTTACAAACTTCTTCCTCAAATATATTATTAAAGTAATGTAATATCTGAAAATTAAAATGCTAACTACAAACATTTTTATTTACACATTTTATCTTCGTCCTGAAAAATTACATAGAAATCACATACGAGGTATTTACTCTAACACGACGAACTATGGTTTACATCATTACATAGAGTCGTTTTGTTAAGACCAGATTTGATTGCTGTGAGTCATGTGTCAGTGAATCAGAGATGCTACTCATCAATAAAAATAACTTTAGCTCTACACGTTTAAGAAGATAAAATCTGTGAAATTTTGGTAGTTTGCCACACCATAATCGCAAGCCTGAAACCAGACTTTAGAGGTTTGGTGATTTCGTCCCTATAACACTAACCATAACTTACAATTTTGCCGAAAACTAATTAAAAATGGGAATAAATTACTTTGCGTAATACGCGAACCCGGTGACGGTTAAATACTACAAAAAAGGTGCGCTTGTGTGAATTTTGTTTTATGACACCAAATCACAGGCCTGTCCATAACAGTTTCAGTGCCACTCAGAGCTTTTGATCGCAAAGATCTGAAAGGCACTCCTACTGCGTCTGTCACTCTGAGAAATAAGGTGACAAATCCCATGTGCCTATAATTTCACCCTTACCGATCAAAGCCGGAACGCAGTAATGCTCACATTACTGCTTGGGGGCAGAAATAGATAAGGTCACAAGGAGCTCAACTGCTACGAAAAATATTATGTTTTTCCTGCAGTTAATTTCCCTACTCTCCTTTGTAAATTTAACAAATTAAATAACACAAACGCAACTACAATCACAAACATAGTATAATAAGACAAGTGGTGTAAACTCACACATTCGCATAATTCGCTCGTGTGTTTATGGATATGAGGCTTCACTCATATGCTGAATTATTATTCGATATTTCATTTTTATTTCATAACTATACTACCATAATCAAGATACTAATCTGCGAACCTGGTGTAAAATTAGTAATATGTAGGTAGGTACTGCATTTTACAAAGGTTGATTTAATATAGCACGAGAATACTTATGAATAACGTACATTTTTCAAATTATGTTTATAATCTGTAAGAACAACTGAAATAATCATGTGACAACTCTACAGTCCGAGGCACGTGTGTAAGTTGCACTTGTTGTATCATTGTACTATTGCCACTACGAGGCATCCTCAGGGATTGTTGATTGTTCGACGCCCGGCTGAAGAATTATTTTTCGCCGCCGATTTCAAACGCCTGGATTTAAAATAATTTGAAAACTGATTATTTACATCACACCATCGTATTATGGAAATATATAAATAATATATATCCGTCAACATTGTAAGTTACGCCCATTCGTGACAAAAGGGAATGATTTCACTTGAACTATTGTAGCATCTCGGGTGATATTGTATTGACTGTATGAAAATAAACGCTAGAAGTAACTTGAGGCACTCCAAAACGCATACTGCTACATCTCTAAAAACGTCTTTTCTGTATAAATTTGCCTGAATGCTTTATCTAATAATCAGCAGAATAATGCATACATTTCAATCAATAAAGTGTGTTCTCTTTGCAATCAAGCTGCCAGCGATCTCATATGTTGTCAAGGTACGCAATTCATAATGGTGTCTTCATTTATTTCTTCGTGTGAACGTAATTCTTTTCATTTAATTGTTCTAGCGTCTACCGTTTCTTTTTAATGTTTGTTTGGCTGCATTGATTTTATGATTGTTTCCCTTCAATTGTTTTCGTAAGCATGTCACGTTCATTATTTTTTTCCTGAAAAGTTAATAATGTGTGTTATAGGTCTGTCCTGATAGATAACATAGCGTCGGGGACAGTGCAAATCCGCGTATGTAGTATCGGTAAAAGGCGCGTATCTGCACCAAGCCAAATTTCACACGAGAGGGATTTAACGTTATTACTTTGTTATTTCTATGTCTACTTTCATTTTTGCACAGATAACACTGATAACAAAGTGATTCCCGTAAATCTCGCTAATTTGGTTGCCTCGACATTTACGCGGATTTTATTTGGTGTTTTGGCGACTAAATTACCGAAACGGAGACTCATAATCAAATGCTAGTTACGCGCAATTGCAGTCAATGTATAATAGTGTATTTTTATATTGATATACTAAAAAGATTTCGAATTTTTTAAATTAAAAAAGAGTATCATGTGGCTATAATTATATTTCGTGTATGTAAGTGTATACGTGTATTAAAGTATACTAAAGTTTTGCCGTGTTAACAGTACAGATCTGTACACACTATATTATTGCATTTTCTACTATTCGGAATGTGTAGAATGCAATTTATAATAATTCAGCCTTTTGCCAATGCTTTCACTCTCCTTTCAGCCCCATCAGGCCCTCCCGTGGGTTTCATGGGCTCAGCAAGATCATCTTCTGAAATCATAACTCAATGGCAACCGCCTCTCGAAGAACATCGCAACGGTCACATACTCGGATACGTTATAAGATACAGACTCAAAGGCTACGAAAATAGTCCATGGACATATCAAAATATCACCAATGAAGCTCAAAGAAACTACTTAATACAGGACCTCATAACATGGAAGGATTATAATGTTCAAATTGCTGCATTTAACGATAAAGGTGTTGGGGTATTCTCGGAGAGTTACACGATAAAGACTAAAGAAGGTGTGCCAGAAGCTCCTCCAGATAGTGTGCGATGTGAGCCGTTTAATTCTACCGCTATTAGTGTTTGGTGGACGCCACCAAATCCGCAAAAAATTAACGGGATCAACCAGGTAATGGACTACTAAGACTAAACCTTGAATTTCATACTAATATACCTTTTTCATACCAGTTTCAACATCTTTATAGTAAGCAGGCAATGCCCGTGTAAGGGCACAACACCTGAATTTAATCAACTTTTAAAAACATTAATATATTTTTTAATGAAAAATAGCACAATCTTACCTGATATTTACTAACGATGTAATCGACGATATTGACTCTAGCCTTGAATGGTCTCAAGGTGAAGATATCATGAAACACAGATATTGGTAGTGTGTTCCATTCCTTTACCGTACGCATTATAAATGTAAATCTACGACATAATGACTACTTGAAGTTTAAATTATGACACATTAACCTGTTATTCAAAGAAGTCGTCTTAGGTTTTCGCGATTATTACACATAAGAAATGAAACTTTTTTTCGGATTTATAATCGCGTAGATTTGTTTTAAAAAACAAACCAACGTTTCGGTCCCTTTACTGCTGACTGTCAGTCAGCTGTGACCATATAAAGGCCCCGAAATGTTTGTTTGTTTGAAAAAACAAATTTAGATCCGAAAAAGTTGTTTAATTTCCTAAATCATTAAATATGTTAAATAGGTGTAAATCAACCATTCTTTCACAGGGCTACAAAATCCAAGCTTGGCGTTGGGACGAAACCGAGAATACAGACGTAGAAGAAAAGTTAGTCAGCGTGCCACCAAACCTGCTAGACCCTTTAACAGAACAAGCGTCGATCATAGGCGGACTTGAAAAGTTCAACGAGTACAATATATCAGTACTATGCTTCACTGAACCGGGTGACGGACCTAGAAGCGAATTTATTCGTGTTACAACTAAAGAAGATAGTAAGTATTCTTCGTATTCTTCTCCTTGTAATGTCCAAAGACGTTTCGTCGTATAAACTATAAATAGTAAAAAGTAAATTTTTAACAAATCTACCATTACAATCCCGACCTCAGAAAACACACTGTAAATTCTATGAGTAATGTCATAATATTTTAAACAATTTCGTACACATTTTATTTGTTAAACTAGCTAAATTAAGACCTAAATCGTTCTTTCTCTATGTGTTTTATTGATTAATTGCCACATACGACTTATTTGCATGACAATCGCTAATAAGAAACCCCCATACTAGCGTCTTCCTAGCGTCAGCGTCTTGCCAAGCCACGCACAGCGTCGACACGACGTTCCCGCGACTGCGACGCAACGCCAGCGCGACTTATACCCGACGTTCGGCACTATAAAGCAGTAGCTAAGCGCTGGCGTTGCGTTCACAAATTTGTTAGGAATGCTATGTTGCGTCGCCTCCGCGTGCGTTGGCAAGACGCTAGTGTGAGTGGGGGATCTCTAAAAAACAGTGTTTTATACATAGGGCGCACTATACGTTTCCGGAACTGGCCACTTACATAAACAATATTTAAACAACATTTGAAAATGGAACTCTTTGGCTGTAGAATCAGTTTGTTTCGTCTAGCGATGAAAGAGACTCGGTCTTTTAAGGCGTTTTATAACGACTCCATTTTACAGGACTCAACTCTAAAATAAAGACTCGAGTTCGAGTTTTTATTAATAAGACTCAGTCGTTATACTAACGACTTAAACGACTTATACGACTTAAAGGACTTGAACGACTTAAACGCGACTTGAACGACTCGAGTTGTTTGCAACGGAATTATACCTATTTTATTTCTTATTAAATCCGAAGTTTATAAATAAAAATGACGTAGTATGTAGTAAATAATCTGAGCAAAAAAAAATAGGCAGAGACTGTCAACCTCCACTTAATACGTTCATAAATAGTATGTTTCATTCATCATTATGGTCAAACGACAGTATCAGACACTAAAATTTGATAAAATACTTTAACTGTTGGGTTCTGTATCTATAAATTTTTATATTAAAGAAACAAATAATTCGCAAAAAACAAATTCTTGAATTGGTTATAATTAAGTGACTTCTGTGAACAAAGCTACGTTAACGTTATCCATCAATCGTAAAATAAATATCTTGTGGGTAGAAATACAATCACGCCATACGGCTCATGACTCGCGACTCCCGAGGCTATAAGGCGCCAGTCGTTTTAGTCTTATAAGTATTTTAAGCTTCCTAGGGTTAAAAGACTTCGCCTCGAATTAGTCTTCAGTTTTAGTCTTATCACTCAAGACTTGAGGGTTAAGAGACTTGACTAGTCGCGAGGCGTTAAAAAGTAGTCGAGGTTCTTTAAAAGGCCTTAAAAGACTGAAACTCTTTCATCGCTAGTTCGTCTGACTGTCACTTGTTTTTACATTGTGGCGTCATTTTAGAAATTGGTTGTCTACATCACGTTGGATTGAACTCGTGAAAATTTTCGTAGTATGATTTTCTCCGACTTTAAGTGTAATTTAACAGCTCAGCGGAACTTCGCTCGGCTACAAACTGCTTTTGGCGATGAAGCACCATGCAAGACGGCTATTTATAGCGGGTTTGCAGAATTCAAACGCGGTCGTGTGAATCTCAGTGACGAATTTCGTGACGGTCGCCCGTCCACTGCTGTGAACAACAAAAACATCGATGCTGAGCGCCGTATGGTCAAAACAGGCATGTGACATACCATGGGATTCGGGCATTTTTAGGCATAGGCATGAGTCAAATACAATCAATACTACACAAACATTTGGGTGTGAAAAAGCTGTGCTCTCGGTGGATCCATGGAATATGGATTTATAGTTACGATCCCAAAACAAAGCTGCAATCGAGCGTATGGGCCTTTCGAGATGAGCCGAAACCAACCAAAGTGGCGCGCGTACAAAGTGCCTTTAAGCGGATGATTGCTTCTTTTTTTAATAAAACTGGACATGTGGCTACTGTTGCTTTGGAGAATCGTTGTACCGTGAGTAGTAATTGGTACACGACCATTTTTTTGCCGGAAGTTATTGACAAACCCCATAAAAATAACCATAAACGCCGTATCATCTTGCACCACGATAATGCCAGTTCTCACACGGCCAGACAGACAAATGAATTTTTGAAGGTGAACAACGTTCACCTTATGGGCCTTCTCGCGTACAGTCCCGACCGGGTACCTTGTGACTTTTATTTATTTCCAAAAATTAAGAACCAGTTACGCGGTTTCATAACCTGAAGACACTGTCGAAGAGTATGAAAAGTATTAGAGATTATCACGGAGGAGTAGCATAAATGTTTCCAAAATTGGTTCATTCGTATGAAAAAGTGCATTAACGCTAACGGAGAATATTTTGAGAAACAATAAATTCATTTCTGACCATATATAGTATTTTTTTCTTATTCATTCCGGAAACTTATAGTGCGCCCCACGTAGTATTAAATATTCATTCACATTGTAGGCGTCAGATTTTTTTCATCGCATAATACTAAAAAAAATCGTTTATTCATCTCAACACATTAAAAAAGAAATACAAACTATATTACACATAGAATTAAGTATCAGACAATAGTGTAGGGAACTAAAAAGGTCTAGTTTTAAATATTAATCACACTTGTAAGGTTATGAAATATTTTAAAGTTATTTTTTCTTGTATGTGTACTGTGATAAATACTTGCTTGCTGTTGTTGTCATGGCATAGGGAGTTTTCTATATTCAGACCAGATAATCAGTATAATTGTCTGGCAATTATTACGTTCAATACAAAAATTCAATACTTATTCCACAGTCCCAGATGAAGTATCAAGTCTACAATTTGACGACATATCGGACAGAGCAGTGAGAGTGTCATGGTCTCCACCTAAAAAACCTAACGGCATCCTAATAGGATACAAGCTGTCCTACGAAATAAAAGACAACGCAGAAACATTGAAAGAAGAGGTTTTACCGCCTAACATAACCAGTGTGAAAGTAGAACACTTACAGGTACGTGTGCCTATATTCATTAATTAATGATTAAATAGCTTGGTTAAAAAATAGGTCACCTTTCAGAGATTAGGTTATAATGGTGGTATTGTAGTCTCTAGTCTCTCGGAGTTGTAACATCGAGTGCAAAGTAATTAACGTTCGAAGTTATTCGACGTGATTAACACTTGCCAGCGTAGGAAACTTTCATTTTATGGAGTCTATGAACTTGTGAATCGGAAACCAAGATAGAATTGCTAAATATAGGATGTTTTTCAAAGAGAAAAAAATTTTAAAACTTTTTACACTCATTAATGAGGCCATAATTCTGTTCTACAAATTTCGATTATCTGTTTAAATCGATGAAAAGTCTGATGAAGTTTAAATTTATCATTAATTGGCTCTTGATCTTCAAATCCCAGTGTTAGCCATAAATATTTTAACAAACAATATATTAAAATGAATGGCCGAAATTTCATTTACATTTTAAACCGTTGATTGTTTATGTATAAACACTTAAATTAATTTTGCATCTTTGATACATGAAATGCTTAATGTATATTATGTTACATAGTATTAAATAAAGAAAGTAACACTTTAAAATATACTTAATATTAGAAGAAAAGAATATAGAAATTTAACTACATTTACTGCAACTAGTTATTAATTTGAGTAAGTTTTTCATACACCTATTTTTTTTTAAAACATGTACAAAGTTTTAGCTTGACTGTACACCGGTATTAGCCATTTAGGTAATAAAAAAACGAAAAAAAAAAAAGAAAAAGGAAAACATTATGGTAATTCTTCGCCTTTGTTAGGAGCGTGGACTGTAATTTAATGTAGACTTTAATGATATTTTGTACTGATTTAAATATTTTAATAGGTATACGGAGCACACACATTACATATTATAACATGACAGTTATGACAATTTTTGTGTTGCTAACATGCTGCCGCCTCATATAAAAACAACATTGTTTGTAAATACTAATTCAAGTTATTTACAATAATAAGTTACATAATAAACTAATTGTTACATAAAACTGTATGTGTGCATCAATGTAACAATGTTACGATTAATTAATAGGTAAAATACAAATACCGCTCAATGAACTTATACTTCTTGCCATTGGGTACAATAACCTCTAGTGCACAACAGCCTTAATGTTCATTGAATTCTAAAATTACTATTATAAAATTGCATCGAGGTCCGCGCCCTGGAACATCGTGCCTATGACACTGGCAATATTATGCCATATATCCAAAGGGGTTTGAATGGCTAAGCTTATTCTTTCTCAGAAATAGCTGCCCGTTCTCTGATCACCAGAAGCTTCAACGACAGCTTTTAATTCTTAAAAGCTCTAGTTTAATCAGTCCATAATGCTATCGTGGTAGCTTTTATACATTGTCCTATCACTATATAACAGGCAAGTACCCACTACAAGTTCTGGCTACGTGCACTGACAGCAGTAGGCGAAGGCCCACCTAGGTCAGCTACCATTCAGTCCGGTGTGGAGCCGGTTCTTCCAGACGCCCCAAGAAACCTCGCGCTGTCAAACATAGACGCCTTTTCGGTATTACTACAGTTCACACCAGGTTTTGATGGAAATTCGTCTATATCAGAATGGATTGTGCAGGTTAGTGATTTTTTTTGGAACTTATTGTGCGTTTTGTTACATGACTTCTACAGAAAGTTTTCAATATTGTGACAGATCGTTTCGTTTAACTTAGATGTATATGAAAAAGGGAATAACTCAAAATCGACACTTTTCAGGAGAGGCAAAAAACCATACTTTTGTTGATTATTGGTTGTTCGCATTTATTATTAGTACTTTTTATGACTTCTAACTTTAGGTATTTATACATCTAAGCTTTCGTTTGATGGGTATTGCTAAAAAATTCCGTCATGTTTTCTATATTTTTTTAAGTTTTTTTTCGAGTTGCGTCCTTGTTTATGAGTGCTTAACGCTAATAACACGACTTGTGTTAACAAACTTTAAGACATAAAACGACTTATTCCCGTAACTGCGTCCAACTTTTTTTCCCCGTCATTGTGGAACAATACGAAAAGTGTCTCTATGTAAAAATACATCTGCAGTTATTCGTTAAAACGTGCACTTATTTTTGGAGTTGAGAGCACTTATACCTTTAGACACCTAAAAAATGCCCGATAACTAAAATTATGCCTTTAGGAACAGTGAGTTATGCCCTTAGTGCAATAAAAAAAACGACGTTAGGAGACTGCTAGAGAGGCGTCCTTTTGATATGTTATGTAACCAAACACGCTGAAGCCAATGGTGCAATAAAACAAAAGGGCATAACTCGTCTTATTCCATTTTTCACTGGAGGCATTGAATGAATGCAAAAATTTATTTTCAAAATGTACTAACGGACACTTTTAACTTATCACAAGAGTATCGAGTTCTTAAGGGTTTCGCGATTGTTACACACTAAAAATATTTAAAATTATTTTTTGTACTGCCTCTGTGGTCGAACGATTACCATGTTGGTCTGCCAAGCAGAAGTCCTGGGTTCGATTCTCGGGCCGGGAGAAATATTTGTATGGCCTACATTTATTTCTCTCGTCAGTTTGGGTGTAATTTGCAGTTGTCTATGTGTGTGTCCGTCCACGGCATCCACGATGCAGGGTTTCCCTAGTGTATTCATCTAAATCGCATATATTTGTTTTTGGAACAAACCAACGTTTCAACAGTGACCATGGAACCTGTAAATGGCCCGAAACATTGGTTTATTTGAATAAACAAAGTACTTTAATATCCAATTATCATAAACGCCCTAGGAAGATTGTTATTCATTCCCTCTCTATTGCAGGCTCAAACAGCTCGCAATTCGTCATGGGTAACAATATATAAAATTAACGCTCCGGAGGCTCAATCCATTCACGTGACCGGCCTAGTGCCATTTACAACGTACCGACTGCGTTTGATCGCAACGAACGTGGTCGGATCCTCGCCACCCTCGGAGCCGTGTAAGGAATTCCAGACAATACAAGCGCCGCCGCAGCACCCACCGAGAAACGTCACTGTGAGGGCTGTTAGTGCAACAAATTTGAGGGTTAGATGGATTGTAAGTATAAATTATAAACACATTCTTCTATTGCAATATAATACTTACATATTTTTGTGAAAATACTCCACTAGTTTATTATTATTATTGATACAAAAAACGAACAAATACGAAGAAAAATTTCTTCGAACCGACTGGACTGGAACCACTGTCTGTTGCTTCATCGTGGCTGCCGCTCTTACCAACTGAACCACATATCGAGTCAGCAGATCTTGCAATATTTCAAATTCAAATGTTTTATTGTATACATGTTGTTATATAGGTCTTAAATTAGTACATACAGTATCAAACATGAACCCTGTTAGGGCACAGCATTGTACATTTTTAAGTACATTCTAAATGTTTTTGATGAAAAAAAATGTTTTTAATTAGATAAATTAAAAACATAGAAATTATTACAAATAGTCAAAGTAAGATTAAATAGTGTATTTGTATAATAGTTGATTTCAATTTTATTGTAAAATAGTTTATCTTCAAAATATTCTTGAATTGTAAATCGCATTTGTCAATTAATTTTTTTCTTAGTAGTTTAATGAATTTGTAGTTGTTCTCTTCGTTTTTTATGTCATTAGGTAATTTATTATGTATTTGAATGGCCATTTCATGTAAACTAGAAGACACAAATTTTAATTTGGATGGCTGTCTGATTAAATTATTTTTATACCGGGACGGGTAGCGTCAAGATTGGTCTCCTTCTTTTAAATATAGTTCAGGGTGGTGTCTTACAAATTTGCATAGTTCTAAGACATAAATCGCCGGCAAAGTCGATATTTTCAAAGGCTTAAACTGTGATTTATAACTTTCAGTTGTTTTTAAGTTAGCTAGGATACGCACACACTTTTTTTTGAATAATAAGCAAGTCTTGTGCATTTCTCTGTGTGCCTGCATAGATATTGGGTTTAAACAGTTTTTTTTGCCATAACGCCACCTGTGCCATGATAATAAAAACATCATGATAATAATAATAATAATTTTAGTGGCAGCAAAAATCCTTGTGAAAGAGTTCCTCCAAGGAAGACTACCACTTTACCTATTTCTGACGCCAAGCAGTATTGCTAGCATTATTGCCTTCCAGTTTGGAAGGGTAAGGGTGTTGGGGTAAATTACAGGCGCATGGGACTTGTCAAGTTATATCTCAGGGTGACGGGCATAGTGGCAGTGCCACTAAAATCTTTGCGATTAAAAGCTCTGAGTGGCATTGCAACTGTTATGGATAGGCGTGTGTCGCTTACCATCAGGCGCACGACTTGTTCGTCCGGTCACTTGGTATTACAAAAGAAAACATTCATCAGTGCAAATAATATTTCTACAACTATAGAAAATTCTCAACTCACCATATTCTCATGTTACCTACCATGTTCTCAGCTCACCACCCTTTGTAAGCAGATCTCATTTGTACTGTGAATTTTGTTACTGTCCCCTTCTATACGACATGTTTCTATAAATAAATTAATTGTGACATAAAGGACACTTCTTTAGCATCGCAAGTGTCACAAGGCGATGACTTTGTTCCATAAGGTAATCTATCTGTGCATGTGTCGGTTGAAAAACATCGATAAAAATTCTGCCCTGCTTTGTTATAACTAACGCATTTGCATTTCATTGGCACCTAAATTATATTTTAAATTTTTATTGAATTGATATTCAATTATTTTTTGTGAAATTACTCCACTAGTTTGTTATAATTATTAATTAAGATCGAACACTCAAAAAAAAATTCCTTCGATCCGGCCAGATTCGAAACGACGTCTTCTAGCTTACCGTGTCAGACGCTATACCAACTAAGCCACGGAACGAACCAGCGAACCTCACGAATTTTTCTATGTGCTTGCGTCGTGTCTTTGTTTTTGGTTTTTCAACGACTTTTTAGTCGTAGCGCCATCTATGACAAAATTATGTTTTTCTAATACAACTGAAACTAAATAAGACATAAAAAACCGATTAGAGGGGGTTGTAGATCTCGTTTCGCTGATCCCAGATACGTTAATAACTCAATTTGGTTAATAACGTCGATTACGTTAGTTATTATAATCATGAAGAATGGTGCCCACCATTACAAGCTTATGATATAATTTCTTTATGAAAAATAGTGACAACAATAACATCTTGCAAAAGCAGTGTCTGCATATTCTGGTTAATATAGGCCGAAGAATCAGTTGCAAGCCATCTTTCAAAAAGAACAAAGTTTTAACCGTTCCCTGCTTATAATATATTCGACGTTGTAATGTTTGGGAGACGTAATTTAGCCGATTATAAAATCACATCAAATTCTCGCCGCAATGACGTATTGATACTTCCGAAACCAAGATTGGAATTATTTAGAAATAGCCCGTCCTATAGGGCAGTTAAAATATATAATCAAATACCTCTGCTGATTAAAGATGAACAAAAACATATTTTTTTCTTTACTAAACTAAAAAAATCCTAATTGTAAAATGTTATTATTCAGTAAATGATTTTTTTAATAATAAAGACATCTATTTTAATTATTAATAAGTATTTTACTATCTAATCTATGTAAATTAAAATAAAATTCCTAATTAAGTATAATGACCTAGAATTAATGTTGAATTGTTCATACTATTTATTTTAATTTTTAAATCATGTACCTATTGTACTTAGTGTCTTGTTAATAATATAAGTTATTATAAATTCAAATGTTAAATTGCAATGCCCTAACAGGGTTCATGTACTGTCGCTGTGATAGTTATAAAGATCAATTTTACACAAATTGTACATGCAGCATTAATAAATAAATTAATAATACGAGGAATAAAAATAAACTAGCTGTTCTTGATAGTCGTCTTCACAGTCACAAATTCATTTAAGGGGCAACGTATACGCTTCTATAACAAGATTCCGGTTGATATATAAAATTGGCCATTCACGAGGTTTAAAACTATAGTCAAACAAAAACTTTATACTAAAAGTTATTATACAACCTCTGCGTAAATGGACGACAAAAATCTGTGGTAGTAACCCGTTTAGCTCATGGTACTCTCGATCTCTGATGTTTGAAAGATTCAGATAGCCTCGATCTCTGATGTTTGAAAACAAAAAATATGTTTTAAATGTTGAAGTGTACAAATGTTATTTACAAAAAGCAACCCTTAGAGTTTCTTTTCTTCTTAGCGGAATCTCTTACGAATGAGCGGTAGAGTTTAACCAATTTGACGATTTCAATTGTAATAATGCTTACCTATGAAATAAAGATTATTTTGATTTTGTAGGAATCAATAAAAAAATTACCGCATATGAGTATTAATAAATTTTATCACAACCATACTATGTAATATATGTTTATAAATATTTGGTATTGTGTCACAGCCACTTCAGCAAAGCGAATGGTACGGCAACCCCAAAGGATACAACATAACGTACAAAAGGAGCGGCACCAACGACACGTTGTTCAGTATTATAGAAGATCACACGGCTAATTCTCACGTGTTGTCGAACTTGGAAGAATGGTCGGTGTACGAGATACAGATGACCGCCATTAATGAGGTCGGGACAAGTGAGGAGAGCCCTATGGCTACGGAACGGACTAGAGAAGCGGGTGAATATTTGCTACATTTGTTTAAAAGTTTTAAAAAGATAATCGTAATAACAATCGTTTATTTATCTCATCAGATTTATAAATAAATTAAGTGCATTACACATTGTCATTACACGTTTTTAAAACGAGTGCGATTCGTAATATATAACAACAAATGACATATTTTTAGTCGATATAACGCTCAACAGATATAATTAATTTATGGTATACAGATATTTGACATATTATTGCATGATATAAAGGTCACTGGTCACTCTATAATAAAGATTGATATAACAACTTTCAATCTAATATACCGATGGCATAATGTTCATTTTATATAAACACTTCAGATATAACATTCACTGAGTATAATGTATTATTAATATTAATTCCAGTGGTGTTTAGTTGCAATTGTTTGACCTCCTCCTGTGAGTTTAGGTTAGGTTAGTATATGACAAAACTACACGAGCCGAGCGAGCGCAGCGAGAGTGTCGCGGCAGCGGCCGGCAAGTGCCAGAACTGAATTTGTTTGCATTTCCTAGTTGACTCGACCTCCTCCTGTGGGTTTAGGTTAGGTTAGAATCAGTGTTGGGCAAAATTTAATTGTTCTGGCAATTAAAGATTGACAATTAATTAATTGTCAATTGCGAAACAGCAATTAACGATTGATCAATTGTTAGTTGCGAGAACCGCAATTAACAATTGATTAATTGTTAATTGCGGTTCTCGCAACTAACAATTGATCAATCGTGAATCGCAAATACCTACAATTAACAATTAATCAATTTTCAATATTTTCAATGTTTTTGATTAACAATTAAAACTGACAATTATGATAAATTTATAGGGCATATTGGGGTGAGTTAGGGCGTTGGTTATGGGGGCCCGGGTGGGGGGCCGGTTTGTGGCCCTGCTGGGGTCCTGTTGGGATCCGGTTGGGGGGCCCTGTTGGGATCCGGTCGGGGGGGCCCCCAACCGGATCCCAACAGGCCCCCCGTCCGGGGCCCCAACCGGCCCCACAACCGGGCCCCCAGCCGGACCCCAAACCGACCCCCCAGCCAGGCCAACAACTGGCCCCCCGACGGGCCCCCCGACAGGCCCACAGGAAATTGCAAATTTAATTGCAATTAAAATCAATTCAATTGAAATCAATTGCAATTAAAATCAATTGATGAATTGATTTCAATTGAATTGATTTTTTAATCTGATTGAATTATTGATTGAAATTTAATTGATTAACGCCCAACACTGGTTAGAATATGCAATTAAATATTCTCCTTAATTTTTAATACATATAAAACTATACAAAACAATTATATTTTGAGATTGTACATTTAACTCTTCAAGAAATCGTAAAACGAAATATTGTTATATTATTTAATACATTATACTGGTAGTACTTGTTTGTTCACTATGCCATCTTATCATTATGTCTAATGTTTGTTATATTGAAAGTTTTTTATACACATTGAAGTTATGCCTTTTGTTGTTATACATTTTGTAGATTATATACAGTGAGTGATTATATCCTTAGAAATTATATCAAATGTTGTTATACAAATTGAAAATAGATTATTTGTTGTTATATATTCCATTACACACTCGTTTAAAAACCTCTGGCCCAGTAAAATAACGAAGTGTTTTACAGCGTCTTCTGCTACAGTCTGCCATATTAAAAAAGAACTAACACACACATCATCCTAGTCTTAACATTGCTATTCGCAGCAGATTAATAAATAGTAAGCTCTTTCACAAAGAACTCTAGTAGCAGTAGAGCTCCTTGTGAAAGAGTTGGTCCAGGGAAGTACTGCCACCAAGCAGTAATATGAGCAATACTGCGTTCCAATTCAGAAGGGTGCTAGTGAAAATACAGCACACGAGACGTTTCAACTTGTGGCTCAGGATGACGGGCGCAGTGGCAGTGCCCCTAAGTTATTTACGACGTAACGGCGGCAGAACTAACTAATAATATAAAAATAATCTCAATGATTCGCATTAAGATACATTCATTTAATTTTCAAATCGTATTTTTTCAATTCCATCAATTTTGAGTTACGTCTGTGGTTTCATTTGCGAAATACATTATTTTTTATTTGTTGAGAAATTACTTAAAAAATGTATTTACTTGTATAACAATTTATTCTCTTCCAGTTCCATCACGCGGTCCAACAAACGTCTCCGCTAACGCCACATCATCCACAACAGTTGTGGTTCTTTGGGGCGACATTCCAGTACAGGATCAAAACGGATTAATAGAAGGCTACAAAGTCTGTTACGCAGCCGTCGTCCCACCACCACGACCCGAACACCAAAAGATCGAATGTCAAGCCATACCTTCGAATCAAACTCATACTATTACATTGACTGAGCTGAGGAAGTATGTGGTGTATCAGATTCAAGTGCTAGGCTACACGAGGTTAGGAGACGGAGCTTTAAGTGACCCCCCGGTTACTGTGAGGACTTATGAGGATAGTAAGTATGAAACTTCAACGAAACTTTAAAAATTTTAGTTGAAAGACTATCTAATCAAAACTAATCTCGTTTGTAAATTGTTGAATAAAACAGAAAATCAGAAACTGTTTGTTGGTGGTACTAGAGTTGTTGGTGATACAGTTTATTTTCACATCAACAGATGCTGATTTTTTGTAAGCTATATGATTTCACCAGTCACGGAAGCCGTAACCGAACGGTTACCATGCTGGTCTGCCACGCAGAGGTCCCTATGATTCTCGGGCCGGGAGAAATATTTGCACGGCCTACATTTATTTCTCTCATGAGTGGGTGTAATTTGCGGTTGTCTATGTGTATGTTCAAGGCACTTATTGAAAGTAAATGAAAAAACTTTCTGTTTAATATTGCAATAAGTTTTATTATTTTGTGCAAAATGGAATTTTATCAAAGAACAACGGCTGAGTTATTTTTCGGCTTATAGTCTATTTCTACGCAACTACTACGACGCAAATATCCGTAATGAATATCAGCAAGATACGAATGCGGATATTTTTCTTATGTGAATTATCCACATCCGCGGATGCAGATGTTGATATTCGAAACAACCCTGGTTGATACCGCAAGACTTACAAGTTAGTTAAAATCGCTAAATATCTTTTGTCAAAACCAGCCAACCTAAAAATAAGTTTAATTAACCAACAACCAATTTACGTATTAAATTGAAAGGAACATATTATAATGTCTTTTATTTCTACAGCTCCCGGTCCGCCGTCTAACGTGTCCTTCCCAGACGTGACGTTTACCACGGCGCGTATAATTTGGGACGTCCCAGAAGACCCCAACGGGGAAATCCTGGCCTATAAAGTGACTTATCACTTAAATAATACTAGTCAACATGTCTTTTCAAGAGAGTTTTTGCCGTCAGACAGGACTTTTAGGTAAGTATTTATACTACGTTTACGAAGGTATTGAATACCTTTGTTTTTTTAAGGTATGATAAGTACACATTTGGCCTCCAACTCACCTGATGGAAAGGTACGATGAGGTCGACAATGGAACATGTACATACCCCTAAAGAATAATGCCTATTCATTTCCGCCTTGAAAAGGCCCAAGTTATACAGTTCAGGGAATATGTCTGCAGGCGGGGAATTCCACTTCAGAACCGCACGCCATATAAATGTGGAATCTTTAGCTTCGTGCAATATCAACATAGGGATTGAAGCCTACGTACCTATTTACAATGTGTTTTTTAAGTATATACAGGAAATTTAAGAACTTTTGACTACATCAAAGTTTTCACAAAAAAAGACCCAGTTAATAGCTTCTAAGACAGTTTCTCTATATGTCCTATGGTTATGGATTTCCCATACTGTCCCAGATAAAAAAATCACACAATGTAACTCACGGATCTCCTCTAAAGAGAGGGTTTAAGCCATAGTCCACCACCCAATCCATGTTTAGGACTTCGCCGTTTTCCAGGATCCAACGGCTCATGTTACATAGGACTATGTACTACATAATCCTTGCTGACATTCTGCCATAACCCCTAATGATTAAGAACATATCAAAAATTTACAAAAACCAACATAACTATACAAAATCGACATTAAAATATTGTTAAAAACGTAACAAATCGTAACATATTCACAACACAACAATGTTTGCGTTGTCAGTCGAAAAAGTTATTTCTCAAATTAAAATTCTGTAACATGTCATTGGTAAAATATAACTTTTCTTACTTATTTGACCTGTACGTAAATCATCAAATGCAAATGTATACCATGTTATAGGGCAACAGAGCTTCTAACAGAGCGTTACTACCTGTTCACCGTAACGGCGCAAACACGTCTCGGTTGGGGCGGCACGGCTCGAGCCCTAGTACTCACGACTGTGAACCGCGCGCTGCCCGCACCACCTGCTAAGCCCAACGTGCAGCGCTCCAGTCTGCAGCCACATCATATTACATTTTCATGGACTCCTGGTGACGATGGATACGCTCCACTCAGGTATTTACTTTATTTAAAAAACCTTCGTGTTATATGCTACAAAGAAAGTAATTAACATTCTTACACTAGAGTCGTAGTTCACTTATAAAAGAACATAATTTATGTTTAGAAGAATAGTAATTTGAAAAATAGTTAAACATTAATACGAGGAATAAATAAACTAGCTGTTACTTGACAGTCGTTTTCACAGCCATAAATTCATTTATAGGCTTCAATATTAAGATTATGGTTGATACTCAAAATTTCCCATTTTTCCCACGAGGCTTAACACTATTGCAGCCGTCTTGGATGACAAAAAACGAATGGTAGTGACCCGTTTAACTCTTGCAGGTTTTGTTGATCTATATATCAATTTGAAATAAATATTGCAAATGATAAAGATATATGCAAATGTTTATTTACAAAGAGCAACCCCCTAAAGATTTTTACTAATTTTTCTCAGGGGTATCTGTCTTACGATTGAGTAGTATAGTTTAATTAATGTAACGATTTCAAGTCTAATTTGCTTACCTATGAAATAGTAGATAGTACAACAAGTGCATAAAACGCGAGAGTGGATACTTAAGTCGAGGGTAAAATGGGTTTTATGAACGAGTTATAAACTCTGCTTTTAACTTCGATTGCGAATTTGCGAATTAAATTGCGAAGGAAATGAAAACAACAATATTACAAATAAACGATTATTTAATTAAAATTGAATGTAAAATTACTACAATTAGACATATTTAATATGATGGTTTTTCCTGGCATATTCAGTGTATTACTTTGTATTTTATTATGAACTTGAGATGCCTCCAAAGTTACAGGATTTACTTGTACTTTATTTTATAAATTTCTAGTGTGCGTGGCTGTTGGCGCAGGCGTCATTGCCTCGGTCTTAAACGATAATTTAATTTTATGCACTAGTGCATAAAATCCTATTTTATGCACTAGAGCATAAAATCCTATTTTGTGCAGCCTACGCCCAGCATAAATACAAACTTTAGGAGCATGAGAAGTGAAAAAAGATTATTTGAATGTAAGTTTAAAATACAAATACAAATTATGTTAAAATAGGTAGAAATTCCTGTTTGGATGTCAAGAATTGTTATTGAAATTATCTGTGATACGATAATTCCGTTAGTGCTATTTATGTAACATAAATAAAAAATAAGCATATAACTTTTTACTATACAGATATTACACAGTTCAGCAAAAAGAAGACAGTGGTGTCTGGCACACGATACCCGAGCGTGTAGACCCATTCGCGACATCGTACACAGTGGAGAATCTCAAGCCATACACGGCGTACCAGTTCAGGATTCGAGCGACCAATGATATTGGACCTAGTGCATATAGCAACGCTACCGAGACTGTCCGCACTTTGCCTGCAGGTAAATAAGAATAATTTTAATTTATGCCCTTCAAAAGCAGAAATTATAACAGAACAAACAAACCGACCCCAAAAGTTCTTGAAATTGCATCTATTTTCTGCCAGGTTTTATTGAAATCGGTTACCGGAAAGTGCGCGAAACCGGATTCATACTCTAGTTTGCCACCCTTAGAGGTAGAATATTTTCTTCAATTATAAATGGGACTAATACTGAAGTACCCTCTTTCCAAGAATAAAAGATTCATCAAAATCGGATCGCAATTCAAATAATCGCGTAACATACAAAAAAATACTGTCGAATTGAGAACCTCCTCCTTTTTTTGAAGTCGGTTAAAAGAAATAAATAATTATATTGAAATTTTCTTATGTATCCTGAATTTAAGCATTGATGTAGAATGAATAACATAAACAAAAAATATTCATTATATCATTTTTGTGCTCACCTTCCCTACAAGTTAAGTGTCGGAGATAAATAATTACGATTTCACATGTAATTTATAACACTTACTATCTCCGATCCTGTAAAATAAAGAAACTGTAACGGTATTTGTGACGAAAATATTAACCTAACCTAATTGTCCATATTAAAATTATTCCTTTGCAGCACCCAGCAAAGCCGTGGAAGGACTTCACGTTGTTCCCATAACACCAAGCAGCGTCCGCGTCCAATGGACCCCATTAGGCGAGCAGTACTGGAGTGGCGACACGCGCACGGGAGGATATAGAGTGTTTTATCAGCCTTTGACAGACTTCCCCACGCCGCTACAGCAGACTATGAAGCAAGAAGTGTCTGGTATCAAGGTATGTATTAAAAATAGTAAACTTCGTCAATTTTGGGTTTAACGGCGTCTGTGGTCGAGTGGCTTGCACAACGATTTTCATGTTGTCGCCATATCTGAGGTCGTTACTAACTTTACTTAACTTTTACTTCGTTACTTAACGTTACTAACGTGAGGTAGGTACTAACTTTTCTATATTGTCTCGGGTCTAGGTGTTTGTGGTACCGTTGTTGTTTCCGATTTCCATAACACTATTGATTTAGCTAATTACTTTGGAATCAGAGCTACGTATGTAATGTTGGGTAAACTAAAGTACCCGAAATTGACGAACGTATATGCAAAGACTGGTATGCAAGTAGAGGAAGTGATTGAGGTAGGTCAGGCAATAGGTGGACGTCTATAGTCTCTTATCTCTTCCGTTGGAATCGATGATGATGATTATATACGCAAAGTTAAAAGTACAACTATAGTTGTCTGAGTAATCAATAGGCTTTATTTATATATAAATCCTAACGCTATTATTACATCATAAATGTAAAGTTTTAAAGTAGATTTTAATATAATTACAACTATTTGAAATAATCCTTATTTCATATAAGAATACACACAATAAATTTTGTTGCCACGAACTTATACATCGCTTTTCAAACAAAAAAAACTGTTCAGGATTCATAAAACCCCAGTTGACTTATGGAAACAATCCAATTACAGAGTGAAGAGGTAGTACTAACCGACTTAGCCTTGGACCGCAACTACGAAATCGGCGTGTGCGCAGTGAACTCGCAAGGTGCGGGGCCAAGCGGCACGCCCGCCGTCGTGTGGGTGGGGGAGGCTGTGCCCACGGCGCCACCGCGTGACGTCACCGCAGAGCCTCTGTCCCCCACGGAAGTAACATTGAAGTGGCAGCCACCGTTACTGGCGCAACAAAATGGCGATCTCCTTGGATACAAGGTAATAAATAATACAGCTTGCACTGAAACCCATAAAAATCTATACTGACCAATTTTTTTTTATCATCTTTCGACCGAAATTAAGTTCGCACTCAACTTTTTCTAACATAAACAATGTAAATAATATACACAGGTCTTCTACTTAATGACGGAGTCAGCAGAAGAACCGGAGCCAGGTCGGCGCATCGAGGAAGAGATCGAAGTGGTACCAGCAACTGCCACTTCTCACTCGCTTGTGTTTCTGGATAAATTCACACAGTACCGCATTCAGGTTAGCGTTAACCTTTGGGTTTTAGTTCAGTAACGACGTTGTCTACTCTAAGTGTTCAGACTTGAGATAATGGGATCGGTCCGTAATAGGTGGGACTAGTGTTAATTCATGGAAAAATTTCCATTTTGAAAAATCACATTTTTACGAATATTGTAGATATTTTTCCACATTTGACAGTGACACTAAAGTTGAAGAAACTGGTAAGAGAATTATTGAAAATACGCAAAATACGGCTTCGAAAATTACATTTAATGTAAATAATATAATAATTACATTAAATGTTTATACAATTTTATTTTATAATTCATGCTAAATAAAACCTTAATATATATGTATCTAAAATTCAAATTCATTTATTCGCTTCGAATAGGTTATGGTACATTATAAATGTTGCTGGTAAAATTTAATTAGAACTTAATCCTATTCAGCTTTAAGAACAGCATGCAAAATAAAGGTGGATGCCATAATTCAATTAGATTAGATGAAAATAAATAATTGTAAAGAAATGTAAATAACTAAATGTAGAACATGATATGAGTGCGAATTATATTTTTTTTTTTTTTCATGAAAAATTTCCGCTATTTGAAATTTTTCGGAAAATTACCGAACATTAGGTGGGACTCATGGTCATTCACTTGAACATTACAGCCAGTTAATCCATCTGTAGTGTTCGGAAACTAGCAACAATAACGCCACAATGACAACAAATAAATAATAAAAAAAGTCGTTAAAAACCAGATACAAAGATTCGACAAATACATAGAATAATTCGTGAGGTCCGCTGGTTCGTTCCGTGGCTTAGTTCCCATAGCGTCTGGCACGGTTTGCTAGAAGACATCGGTTCGAAACCGGCCGGATCGAAGGATTTTTTTCTGAGTGTTCGATCTTTGTATTAATAATTAAAATAAATAATATTTCTCTTACGCCTAGGTCCTAGCCTTCAACCCCGCAGGCGATGGCCCCCGGTCCACAGCAATCCTAGTCCGTACTCACCAAGGACTTCCGTCGGCGCCGCGCAACATAACCTTCATCGACATCACCATGAACAGCCTCGTGGTCTCCTGGGAGGCACCTCACAGATGTAACGGACTGATACAATACTATCTTGTCACTTATGAGACCATTGAGCAGGACGAACGTAAGTTATCACTCATTATTAATATTATTTCCCACTTGGATTGAACTTCAGAGTCAACAAATGTCATCGTATTTCAACATTATATAATATCCAGTCGGATCGAAGGAATTTTTGTTTGTGTGTAACTTTTGTATTAATAATTATAAACTAATGGAGTTATTTCTTAAAAAAATGATGGTAAAACATTATGATATTCAATTATCTTCGTATCACAATTATTGAATATCGAGTTCTTAGGTTTTCCCGATTGTTTCACATTGGAAATGAAACTATTTTTCCGGATTTAAATCGCGTATATTTGTTTTTTCAAACAAACCTACGTTTCGGGCCCTTTACAGGTCCCATGGTCACGGTTGACTGAGGTGGTACAGTCTTCAACCAGTTATGTTTAATATTGATGCAAACCACCCTATTTTAACTAATAAATTTAAATAATTTTTAACTATAGTGGAAAAAATAGGGTGGTTTGCATCAATATTAGACATAACTGGTTGAAGACATTTCCAATTATTCAATATGTTAAATCCAAAATATTGATGACCTCCCTATTGATTTTTGTTAAAAAGATAACCAATCTTGTAAACAAGTTTAGGTGTTACACTTAACTTATTTAAAAAATTAAAACGACGAAAAAAATTTTTCGAAATGCTTCACACAAAGATGGCATATGAAAAGTTTCACTAAAGTATACTAATTTTTCTATTTCCATTACAGGATTCAGCAAACAAGTAAAACAAAAAGTGACAGAACGACGATTGGCTGTAGGCAGTCTAGAAGAAGAAGTAGAATACCGCTTCACAGTGCGCGCTGTGACGATCGGCCCAGGCGGCACGGCCGAAGCCCGTGTACGGACAGGCCCGCAGCCTGGGTCGCCCAGGGCCCCCAGAGAATTGCTCCTTACTCCTGACCCTGCTGCTTTGCATTTAAAATGGACTAACTCCGCCTCTGGAAAAGGATCTTTGCTTGGTTATTATATTGAAGCTAGAAAGAAAGGTATGTACAATGATACAATTTGTAAATATACATACAATATTTTTTTATGCCTAATGTTAGACCGTACACATAGAAACTATACTTATTTCGATACATATTAACTTCTACGCAACCTGTTTCCACAAATAAAAGGGTTCTTATTTATGAATTTGTAGATCTATGTATTCCTAGCCCCAAGCAGTGTTGAGCAAAATTTAATTGTTCTGGCAATTAAAGATTGACAATTGATTAATTGTCAATTGCGAAACAGCAATTAACGATTGATCAATTGTTAGTTGCGAGAACCGCAATTAACAATTAATCAATTGTTAATTGCGGTTCTCGCAACTAACAATTGATCAATCGTTAATCGCAAATATCTACAATTAACAATTAATCAATTTTCAATCTTTTCAATGTTTTTGATTAACAATTAACAATTAAAACTGACAATTATGATAAATTTATAAGGCATATGGGGGTGAGTTAGGGCGTTGGTTGTGGGGGCCTGCTGGGGGCAGGTTAGGGGGCCGGTTGGGGGGCCTGCTGGGGGCAGGTTAGGGGGCCCGGTTGGGAGCCCCGCTTGGGGTCCCCGCTTGGGGGCACCGGTTGGGGTCCCCGGTTGGGGTCCCTGCTTGTGGTCCCCGCTTGGGGGCCCCGGTTGGAATCCCCGCTTGGGGGCCCCGGTTGGGGTCCCCGCTTGGGGGCCCCGGTTGGGGTCCCCGCTTGTGGTCCCCGCTTGAGGTCCCCGGTTGGGGTTTCCGCTTGGGGGCCCCGGTTGGGGTCCCCGCTTGGAAACCCCGGTTGGAGTCCCCGCTTGGGGCCGCGGTTGGGGGGCCCGGTTGGAGCGGCCCGGTTGGGGGGCCCGGTTGGACCGGGGACCCTGACCGGCCGAAATTGATTTTAATTGCAAATTTAATTGCAATTAAAATCAATTCAATTGAAATCAATTGCAATTAAAATCAATTGCAATTAAATCAATTGCGACGCGTCGCAATTGATTTAATTGCAATTGCTTTCAATTGAATTGATTTTTTAATCTGATTGAATTATTGATTGAAATTTAATTGATTAACGCCCAACACTGGCCCCAAGCATCGAGCAAGGTTTTGGGTTTTTAATATAAAACAACTTTTTCGACCACGCTTCGCATACAGTTTTAGTCAGTGCAGCTGATTCTGAAAGGACAATGACCAAGTTGAAGATGACGCTCAATCGCAGATACATTCATTGTTTCTTTCATTCGTATTTCCATGTACTTTATAATACACATGTTACTCTGTAGAACAGAGTTAATCATTATGTGGTAGCTTTTGTTGTTAACACATTTAAATGTAACAGTTGTAGGTGAATGTAGTTAGTTCTTCACTGGTTTTCACTACGACAGACGAATGACATATAAATAAAATTGGCGCTACAATAATATGTGATTTTTTTTAAATCAAAATATTGAATGCGTAATTAATATTTATGTTTAAAAGCAGTATAAAATAACGTATGTTAAGATTAATACGAATCTTCAACTGATCGCGTCTTCAAAGTATGCAACCACAAAATGTCCTTTTAATGGCGGGACTTCACATGGATATATTCGCTATTGGGTGTTTGATGTACTTGGAAAAATATTTGACGTACAGACCAACAAGCAAACACTGACACATATGACCGATACATAGATGTACCTATATACTAAATCTATGGACCGATATGATAAAATAGTGAATATGGCCATAGTGTGGACGGTTTACTCGTCTATTTGCTAAACCTACCAGCTTTACTATGTGCTGGTTTGTTTGGTGTTTTGGTGTATTTCGTCGACTTACTTTCTCAAACTCGTATGTACGTTAAAGCACAAAGTTAGTGAAATGCAAAAATCACAATTCCTTCATATTTACACACTAACTTTTACCTACTCTTAAAGTCATGCATCCAAATTAACACCTTGATAAGAAATTTTATCACTATATACGAGTTTGAGAAATGCATCGATTTGTCGAATAGGCAAAACCAGGCAATAACTTTGCCACTCACGCTATCTACACATGGTGATAGTTTGTCAAATATATCAAATACGCAGACACCAATAGCCATGTGAAATGCCACCATAAGACGATTTCTCCATACAATCGCAATATCGACTCCTTATAGTCGTAACTTACTTAATTAGTAAGCTTTATTTGATGAATAATATTAACATATTTTCATTTACATGCAGCCAAGGAATCATGGCAAGAATGTAAGCCTTTATTTAGAACACTTAAAATAACAAGAAGTAGTTTTTATTGCTAGACTGCACTGTCCCACTACCGTCCTTCTTCTCCGTTACTCGCAAAACATAGGTTGTGTGAAACCCGTCCATCTTACTTAGACACAACATTATTAACAATAATACAAAATGAAAACTTGTAATTTTCAGATGATACTCGCTGGGAGACGGTCACTCGAACCAGCAATGGAATGCTTGAAGGATTCACTATATCTTACCAAAGTCTTTTACCTTCGACAGCTTATTCATTCAGAGTAATTGCATATAACATGTACGGGATTAGCAACCCAGCCTATAGCGATAAAGTCATCGTAACACCCTCAAAACTGTACCTTGAATATGGATATTTGCAGTACAGACCTTTTTATCGACGTACCTGGTTCATGGTAGCGCTCGCGGCGGCCTCAATTATTATTATTATAATGGTCATCGCGATACTCTGCGTTAAAAGCAAGAGTTATAAGTATAAAAGTGAGTATTTGACTGGTATTACTTGAAAAATCGTACCTAATAACTTGGTAATAAGGTTTGTATTAAACTGGATACTTTTTCAGAAGAAGCACAAAAGACGTTGGAGGAATCGTTAGCAGGTGAGACAGACGAACGTGGGTCGATGGCGATGGATCTGTATCGCTCCCGACAGAATTCCGTTGCCAGTGCGGGCGCGCTCGTAAGCGCTACGGGCACACTGCGCCGCGGTAAAAATGCACCAACGCTGGGCAAGTCCCCGCCACGGCCCTCACCCGCCAATGTTGCCTACCACAGCGACGAAGAAAGCCTGCGCGCCTACGACGAGAACCCCGACGACTCCTCCTTAACGGAGAAACCCTCCGAAATGAGCTCCTCGGATTCCCAGGTGATCACCATTAAAATAAGCGTAGTCTAAATTCGCCCGTGCTCCGTGTTACTAAATTCCAACCTTATTTTTTTTCCCTCATCACCTCCGATCGGATTCCGTGACGGTAAATATCATTGGAATGAAAACTCGCTATCGCTAAAATTCTTTTCGTCACGCTATACCATCCCGAGTATTTTGAGCACTTAAAACAGTAAGGTTTATCCATTTCTTCAGTATTTAGATAGACCATTTAATTTGTAAATATTTTTCACGTTATATTGTTTCCCTCAATTTATTACTTTTCATTTATTTATCTTCATATTTATTCATTCATGTACTTACTGAACATTTTCTCTTTGTATAATACAAACACCATAATACCATTTTAAACGAAGCAACTACAAACCTTTACCTAAAAAGGGAACGTAAAATAAAACATAACTCCCACAACATATCGCACACTGAGAATGCGTAGGCAAAAACATTTTTTTAATATTTTTAATGTCGTCTTGGATTTAAGAGTACGGACTTCGTAATGCAAAAACCTCCATGTTACGTCGTTTGCCTAGAATTTGCTATATGACGTAATGATGTTATGCTGTTTAAGGGGAACGGGGTATAAGAGACTGCGCGATACTGACATTTTTTTTGATAATGACAGAGATCGCCGAGTTGTGAAACAATTTACTAGTTACTAGTGTAGGAACCGTGTAGGATATCGTCATTTTTTCGATAGTGTCGTTTTGCATTGACATATAACACAGGATTGCTGAGTCAGATCCACGCTGGTTAGTGGATCAGTTATAGAATAATTTATCGTTTTATTTTCGAAGTTAAAGTAAATTTCATGGCATAATTTGTTTTTATGAATCGTTTGCGACGATATTGCATAATGAGAAATGTTAATTTCCATGAAAAGATTATGAGGAATATACTAAACGAAATTTTTGTTTGATTCTCAAAAATACCTTTATTTTATTATGCTAGGTGAAAATTCGTATAATACTTCTAAAACTATGTAGGTTCCCTTTTATTTTAGCTGGAAACTGCATTTAAAAACCATCGCTGAGTAAGAAATTGCAGTTATCACAATTTTCAGAACTTTAATTGCTCATTACTCAAAACCCAAAATTTTGCATAATGTCACTATCATTCTCAGTGTGCGATATGAAATTTGGTTCAACATTATTTTATTCAGAGACTATGTAAATATTGTTTTGCGAATGTTCGAAAGGTTAAGTATTAAAAAATCGCAGTAAACTTAACACGAATGTTCAAATTACAGAATTCGGAGAGTGAGAACGAGAGTGTGAGATCCGAACCGCACTCATTCGTCAATCACTACGCAAACGTTAACGACACGCTGCGACAATCATGGAAACGGCAGCGACCTGTCAGGAACTACTCTAGTTACACAGATTCGGAACCAGAAGGGAGCGCTGTAGTCAGTCTCAACGGTGGTCAAATAGTCATGAACAATATGGCGCGGTCTCGAGCACCTTTACCAGGCTTCTCATCATTCGTATGACAAGAGCCCACTGCTACGGCTCCAACGGAAGCCGTGCACATGTAACTTACACTGCCCATTCCCCAATAATTAATTTGTAGATTACATTAGCGTGTCAAGATATGGCAACTACATGAAATAAATAATAGATCTTATTGCTAGTGTAAATACATATCAAGCTTTAAGAAAGGTAGCTGAATTATTATTAGACAATTCACGTAGTTGTTTAATGAATTAGTATGTTCTTATGGCTATTAAAATTTTCTGTGCCTGTGTTGCACAATCTACGACCAATGTTAGTTATTAGATATTTGAAAGTTCGTTTTTGACGTTATGGATCTCGTTAATGTATTTTAATGCATTTTCCAATGTTATATGTTTATTGGTTTAATCGTAATCACTGTACTTTAGTCTAACACGTAAATTGATATCACATTAAAAAAAACTAATTTAATCCAAACATAAAACGGCTAATGCCGAATCTTGGCCAAAGTTTCTACAATTTTCGTTTGTGTCTTCAAAAAATATATGCTGTTTTGGCTAAGAAGAGCCATATTTTGTTTTTTGCCATAAGTATTCTAGGTTTGTTTGTACAAGAAGAAAAAAAGATTTTTTTTCATAAAGATACCTACTATTCATAAACGGTAGGTGTACTATTTTTTTTCAAGGCGGAGTAAAAAACGTTTGCATTGCTGCCATTTTTTTAAGTTTTTTGATTAGTTTGTCGCGTATCTATATATTGTGAAAGGAAATAGAAACGCACACAACAATTCTTGCCGTCTTTCTTGTTATTTTAACAGTTGGCTTACTGGTATCGGAGGCCGTTTCATGAAGTACGATTTTAAACCTTAATTGGACTATGGTAACATATTGACCACGTATATTTACTGAAAAATAATAAGCCGTATTGTATCCATAAATAGTTATTATTATTCTTGAGATTGAGAAGAGGCTGAAAACCTTGAATCAGTGCCTAAACAGTACAAAAGAATATTTTTTGCCGCCTAATTTTATGTATATTAATATAATTGTAAGTAATATTAATGAAGAGATTCGCTCTGGCCCTTTTGGAGGGAAAAGTGTCGTTTTTATTTTGACTTTCAATTATTTTGGGAAGTCTAGTTTAAAGTGGAATAGGATAGTGCTATTGTGCCTTAGTCGAAAATTAAAACGCGAAATTATACGAATCTCGAACTACAATACCCGTATCGGCCCGTTCTAAGGAATCCCGAGTCAATCCAAGCACACCGCCTCAAATTGCCTATCCTCTTTGTGGCGGCCATATTTACAGAAACATAGTTAAACGAAGACATGGCTCCAAGCACTTGTATCCAAGCCAAAATTATTAATAAAAATAGTATTAATGAAGAATTCAGAGTAAATGAAACTATTTTTCCGGATTTAAATCGCGTATACTTGTTTTTTCAAACAAACTTTTTTTAAGGATGTATAACAATCGCGAAAACCTAAGAACTCGGAATTCAGAGTAGTTACATTTTTTACACGAATTAATTTTTAGTTTATGTATATTACGTTGTGCGTTTCTTCATTATTTGTTACCATTAAGCTGATGGCTCTGAAGCCAATGCTTTATAAACAAATAAATAATAAATGAAAAATTCAAGTGAAAGTACAAGATAAATAAATAATGCAGGGCGACAATTGTGTGAAACACTGTAATTCGTGCGGAAAAAGTGACCATGCCCGTTCATCGAGTTCAAAGTGCTAGAACCGAAAGAAGCGTGTTCGTGAAACTGATGCAGGTGACAACCACGAAGTGTCAGTATATTGTGTCAAAAAGGGAATTGATTCTTTCGTCTATACGCTGGCATATGATGAAAGAGTTGAGTTATTTTTTTTTTTTTATTTATTAAGGCTTTGGCAAAGCCATCAGCCTAAACATGAAGTTTAAATATGTTTCTGTAAATATGGCTGCCACAAAGAGGATAGGCAATTTGAGGCGGCGTGCTTGGATTGACTCGGGATTCCTTAAAACGGGCCGATACGGGTATTTTATTTCGAGATTCGTATAATTTCGCGTTTTAATCTTCGATTAAGGCACAATAGCACTATCCTATTCCACTTTAAACTAGATTTC